GATTATGTTCCAAATTCGCCACAGTAATAGTAAACACACCTTCATCATCACATGTTGCCGTAATTCGGGCTGTGCAACCACAATTGGATCGGGCTTGTGGCTTTAGACAATTCTTAGATCGGCTCACCCTATTACCTTCTCTACCACATGAGATTGTGATAGAACGTATTGTTCCATAACATCCCCTCCTCAAACTTCTCTTTTTAATGGGAAACCCCATTCCCTTTGCATAAGTATGGTAGAATTCATATATGGCATCATAATTTGAAAACTTCATCCCAACATCAGGGACAAGGCTTACAGGGACTGGGAGTTCAACACTTCTTCGAACATTGCCATCACTTTCATTCTCTTCATGTGTGGACAAATTACCGATGGCCGGCATGTTCAACACCACTGTTTCTGGACAAACAATTCCAACATTTCCATCAATTCCGTGTTCTTCAACACATAGCTCTCTAGACATGTCCATCTTAGTATTAATGATATTTACCATGAGGAGGGTGATATAAACTTGAAACTTACAATGCCCCGTTGTGTTGTTGTTTTCCTCGCACCCTTCCAACATGTCAATGAAATAGATGTCAAGTACAGGATCTATGTCATCAATGTCTATTAAATCTGTCAAAGAAAAACAAATCACAACATCAAAATTCCCAGTTCCAATTATCACACACAGTAAATGTCTGTTTTACACTTCATGAAATACCACACTGTCTGTGAAACCCTAAGCACAAACCTTAAGCACATACTTTGCTAAATTTTCTCGGTTCCATATACTATGTACATTGTATGTCTGTGTTGAAATACTGTAAACACGTAGTTGTCTAACCAATCATATGGATATAACAACTATATTCGTCAGAAACCAACAGACCTGTCACAACACTACAATTCCCCTTATTCCAATTATTACATACATTAAATGTCTGTGACGCTCTAATTTAAATAACATACTGTCTGTGAAAACAGAGTGACAAACAAAATAATCTTTTACCCCTTCGTGTTCCTTTTATACATGGTTCAATACGACTACTACGAAAAATCCTCATCCACTTACATTAAAGGACTATTTTCCCAAAAAATTCCATTCTTTAAGATTTTCACAAACACTTTTCATCTATGTTACAACTTCATATACAGCATAGTCTCTGTGTGAGTTACAAAATTGAAAATTAGAATGACAGAGGTTCATAAACTGTTTACTGTACGGATTAACTAAGCTGCAAACATAGGGATGACTAGAGGTTCTTCGTACATTATCACGCACACACTCCTACAGCAAAGCTTCCAGATTGTGATGATGATTGACGATGATGGTGACGGAAACTGGTGTTGATGTGCGCGACTGTCAGGAACACGATGGACTTCCTTACGCCGTTTACTTCTTCTGCCGGCGACACAGGATGGACGGCCGGCCGTAACATCCGATGGCGGTCCGGTGGGAGAAATCGATTGTGTCAGAAATCTAGGGTAGTTGACGACAGCCGGGAAATCGTGCGAGGGAAGAGAGGGAATGGGTAAGGAAAAAAGGTGGGAAACTAACGTGGGTGGGGAAGTGGGGTGGGGGGGGGGGTTTGGCCGTGTGGGTGTATATGGTGGTGATTTTGGGGTACCCGTACGGTGTACCCCTAGCGGGACTGTAAATTCTATTATGCACACGCTCACAGACCACAACCAATTTATTTTTCAGTGTGGATTAAATACTTTAAATGTACTTTTATATGTGGATGATATTCTTGTTATAGCAAATAAGAGTACTCTTGGGTCTTCGAAGAAGTATTGGTTGGAAACATGCTCACTCTCTAATAATTAAAATGCTCAGCTCCCTACAATTTTTTTTTAAATACAAGAAAATTAATATTACTCCATTCGGAATAGTTATGATCATTGACTGATTATTTTCAATTTCATATATTCAAGAATTGATGTTAAATTAAAATATAGTGTTTATATATTTCAAAATAATATAAAAAATACTTTATCCTTTATTATAAATAAAAATGAGACTCCAATTTCTCAGACGCAGACATCAGGCTAATGTGGTGTTTTTTTACACCTAATTTATGACACGAGAAGTAAAAAATTAATAGTTTGGATTTTGGAATGAAGTCAATGAGTAAATTTAATTATGCAAGAGAGATATTTGTTTTCTTGATACTCATTATTCTTTCTTAATTCTATATATTTATTTATCTTCATTAAATAAGCTAGATATTCCCTTCACTTCTAAATAAATTTTAGGGGAGTATATTTTTCAATTATTCATTTAAATTAGAGATGTTAGTTTTAATTTTATTTATTTAACTATTGATATAAATTTTAAAATGATAAATATATATAAACAACTACAATAAAATTATACTCCCTCCATCCCACAAAATATTTCTTGTCAAAAAATTTCTTGTTTTGAATTTTAAGAAATTTAAAAGGAGTTTATTTTGATGTTAACTTTCTAAAAATGCTCTTGGATGTGATAGGTAAAAATAGATGTGGTGAGTAGATTAGTAGTGAAAAGTTTAATGTGATAGGTAGGTTAAGAATTAGTATGAGTAAAAATGACTTTTTAATAAAAATAATTTTTTTTTTGGACAACTGAAAAAGGAAAGGAGAAAAGTTTTGTGGGACAGAGACGTATAAAATAAGAGATGACTATACTAGATGTGTTAAAATAAAGAATTTGAGATGTGTTAAAATAAGAGATGACTATACATAATTTGAGATTTCAAGAGACAGAAATTTACATATCTCTAGATTTGATAGTTAAAATCTTTTAGTTCACCAAACACTAAAGCTTACGGAATATATTTTAGGATAAAAATATGAAAAATTTATTTTAGTTTTTCTCTATGTTTAACTTTTATCTTAGTCAATTTTCCAAGGCTATATTTTCTTCGTCTGATTTGATTGATTTAATCAAATCAATAATTTTGAACTAAAAGTCTAACCTTGAAATAACATAAGCAATGACCTTTTTTCGTATAAATACGAAGGGCACAAGCAGAGAGACGTCTCTAACTAATTTATGGTATTCTTCCATTGTTAAGTAAATTTTTTTATCATCGTGATAAGCCTTATTAACTTCCTCCATAAGTGAGTCAAAATTAATCTAGATATGGAATCACGCGAGACCATGGGCGTAGATATACCTTTAGCATCAGCCATATCCGCATGCTCCAAAATAGTTGAAATATACTGGGCCTGAGAGAGAAAGAGACCATGCTGTGTAGGAATAACCTCAACACCCAAAAAATGATTCAAAGGACCCAAATCCTTAAGAGAGAACCGATTTGAAAGGGAAGTAACAAAGGAGTGAAGAAAACCAGAAGAATTTCCCGTGAGCACAATATCATCAACATAAACCAGGAAATATGCAAGCACACCATCCTTGGCATACACAAAAAGAGAAGGATTAGCCCTTGATTTGCAAAAACCTGTGGCAAACAAGAAACCAGCGAGTGAATCGTACCAAGCCCGGGGGGCTTGTTTGAGACCATAGATAGCCTTAAATAGACGGCAAACATGTGTAGGATACTCCAGATGAACATGACCCGGGGGTTGCTCCATAAAAACCTGTTCAGATAACTGGCCATGAAGAAAAGCATTATTAATATCAAGTTGACGGAGGGGCCAATTGTTAGTAAGAGCAATGCTCAATACAATGCGAATAGTAACCGGTTTCATGACCGGGCTAAAAGTCTCAAAGTAATCACGGCCAGCCTCCTGCAAATACCCCTTTGCCACCAAACGGGCTTTAAACCGATCAATAGAACCATCCGCATGACGCTTAATCCGGAACACCCACTTGCACCCAACAGGGCGATGTGAACCTCGAGGTACCAGTTCCCATGTCCCATTTTTCAGAAGAGCCTGATACTCAGCATCCATAGCCATCCTCCAACGGGAATCCTTCAGAGCTTGAGCAACAGTTTTAGGTTCTAGAGACTCGGGAAGAGGATGACGCGACACAACATGAGCTTGAGGGGAACCAGTGACAAACTCGGGATTAAAAATCCTGACATTAGGCCGCCGGTTACGAAGAGGACGTGGAGGAGTGACAGACGGGGGACTGGAAATCACAGCAGCAGGAGAGGGGGAAATATTTGCTGGTGTAGTAGAGATATTGGGAATATTTGCTGGTGTAGTAGAGATATTGGGAATATTTGCTGGTGTAGTAGGGATATTGGGAATATTTGCTGGTGTAGTAGGGATATTGGGAATATTTGCTGGTGTAGGAGGGATATTGGTAGGGGAGGAGGGAAGAAGTGGAGGCAGTGGCCGACACATAGGCAGTGGGAATGACACAGGCTGCTGGTGTTGGAAAACATTTTCACTTTGACATTTTGCTAATGACAATGTTTGTTTCCGTTTAGGTTTTGATATTGACAAACCGTCGGGAACATGGAACAAAATGAAAAGATTCAAAGAGATTGAAAAAGTTCTTCGAAGAAACAAAAAGCACAAGAAAGGCATTGACGCTTATAAAGATGACGACATTGGAGCTTTGAAGACGTATTCTAAATACTTATTGAAGACGTATTCAATAAACACTTATTGTAACAAGCTCATTCAATTTCTTTATGTCATGGCTCAAAACAAAATATGTTTTTCATGCATCAAATGAGTGTTTTCATAAATGGTTTTTAAGTTTCTAAAACCCATGGTTCTTGCTTAACCAAAACCATAACCATCGGTTATCGGTGTTCGGCTATGGCGTTCGGTTTTCAGCATTGGTTATTGGCATTGATTTTACCCAAATGGTTTTTGGGTTTTTATCCTTGGTTTAAGCTTCTGGACACATTAAAAGGTTTTCCAAATCATTAGTTTTCAAAAACCATAACCTTTGTTTTTCGGCGTTGGTTATCAGCATTCGGTGTTGGTTATCGGCGTTGGTTTTTGGCGTCCAAATCAATCAAGTGTTTTTTAATATTTTATGATTGGTTTTTACTTCTGGACATATCCAAATGGTTCTCCAACAAAAACATGTCAAAAACCACCGTTCGTTTTTGGTCTTTTGGTGAAAACCATGTGAAACGGCATAAACTTGGCTAGCCGTGGTTTTTTACCTTAATGAAGTGGTTTTTAAGTTTTTATACTTGGTTTCTACCTAAAATACATTATATAAGTGTTTCCAACACTTGGTTTTCATTTTGGAGAACTTTGGTTTTTGACATCGGTTTTCGGCGTTGGCTGCCAAACCATGGTTCTGGCAAACCATCCCGACATGCATGTCGGAAATCCC